AAGGCTTTGCAGGCACTGAAGATTTGCCGTAGCATTTAAGACTCAGGGAATGTCCCAGGGAATTAGATGAACTCATCTTTAAAAACATTACTACACAAGCATATGAATGGCCTCAGGCACAATGTGTTTTAGGGGCTTTTTTGCTTTTGTTTCTGGCTGTTAATTCAATGTTAACTGCCCAAAGTTGAGTGTAAGAATAAATATTTTAAATTAAATAATTCTGCCCCTAGAGAAATAACATATAAAAACTAGCAAAATCCTGCAATAATCTCAAATAATAAAAGGCTCCATAAGATGATGTGTTGGCAGTCATACCATATGTAGTTCAAGAAAGAGTAACAGGTGCTTTGAAATTCTGCATAATTGTGGGAGGAAAAGTTTCTACTTACACTGTTGGCAATTTGTCTCTGCAATTTTCCTTTTTGTTCAAGCTATGGGGGGGCAAATAAAATAGAATTAGATTGACTCTTTCTTCTTACTTCACAAAATACATGAATTAGTAAAAAGTTTTTGACTCTCATTCTTATTCCCACATATAGCTAAATATTAAATGGATTAATTTCCTTTTTTAAGATGACCTTAAATTCTTCTATATGGACTTGATCAGAATCTCCTTTCAGTTTTGACAAAAGAATCAGTGAGTAAATGACAAATTTCTGAGATCTCATGTTTAAGAACTTCACCTCATACTTCTACCAAACTGACTCTCAGACTTGTTATTACCTTATTGGTTTTGACTGAAAGGAAGGAAGGCAGGAACTAGCTTCCAAGGATTAAGTGGGAAAAGTCATAAAAAGTCACTTCTCCAAAATTACTCAGCTTTTTTCAGCCTGTTTTTTTTTCCAGAAAAAATCAGAACGAGTAGAAATTGTGTTTGTGGATATAAAAATAAATGACACTACATTATCAGATTACAAATGCCAGTGAAGTCACTATATTTCTGAATTTTGAGAAAGGATGCTTAATTCACAAGAGGAAGGAAACTTTCTGCATATCGCTTCTTAGACTGTGCAATTTCCCTGTCAAACCATTGACTTTATGTCTAAAAGCCCTCATACTCTTTTTGTCATTTAAAGATGGACCATAGCCACACAGGCATGCTTATGTGTTGCATATTATTAATCTCTTTCTCTACGTAGGAGAGTGACTGTGATTTATAAAAGCAACACCACACTCCACTAGAATTGAGCCTTGCAAGGCCTGAAGCATGGGAAGCAATGAATTCCACTGTTCTCCAGTGAGAAGATACCAAGATGAGGAAGGTGGAGCTGTTTAAGCTTTCTAATGCCCAATTCAGGATAGCTAGAGGCACCAATTTATTTCCAGTCTATTATCTCATGTCATACTCACCACATCTTCCTTTAATCGGCCAGCAACCAGGTCTTTCTCAAAAGCCTCTTGTTCAGCCTTTTCTTCTTCTGCCAGAGGCAAAAATCATAGACATAGCAATGTTTACTTAATCAAAGAATCCAATCTGCAATCAATTTCAAATCCTGAAGATCCTTCAGTAATGCCCACAAATGCCCAGAACCAATCAGTTACCAGTAGGATGAGGCTTTTTCACCCCAACGTATTTGGTATCTCAAATAAATTAAATTATTTTCTAAAGCAGTGGAGAAATTGATTTCAAAAACACATATTAAATTTCACAGTTCATAAATTTTGGGAAACTATTGTGATTTCTATGGCTTAAAAAGATTTTAAAATATATTTTTAAAAAATCTCCACACTTCTCAAGATGAATTCCCAGCCATCTTTTTGGGGACTGTTCAAACAATTGTAAAGTTAAATAAGCAAATAAAAGTTCACAATAGGCTAGTAATGTATATAATTAATGTACTGTTGATTATATATAGGGAAACCACAAACTTCAATTTAACCTTAGCAAAACTGAGTGGCTTCAGGTCTTGGGACCAACAGCATCTGGCAATTAACCATCTTTAGTTCTGGATGTGTGCCCCAGATAAACCCAATGTACCATCTGGAAGTCCTTTTGGACTCACTATTCCTGCCAACTTAGTGTTGCCTACAAATCTGATGAGTTCCCCTTCTATTCCTTTATCTAAATCATTTACCTATAATAGAGCCTATCAAGGGTGTGCCCTTGAACAGCATCTAGAAGCTTCATCTGGTATGAAATGCAGAAGCATCGGTAGCTATGCACACATCTGCAGCACTGCAAGTTACAATTCTGCTCCGTAAACTAGCTACCAGTTTGTGTCAAAGTGCAACCCTACATAGCATGGGGCTGGGATATTTGAGGGACCACCTCAACCCAATCTCACCTATCCATCCCACCAGAAAGGGCATATGGTGGGTGCAAAGTTATCTGATGGGATCCAGGAGGAGAGCCTTTTCTTCTGAGGTGCCCACCCTTTTGAACATCCTCTCCTAAGAGGTTAAGATTAGCTGTGATCCACCTGGCCTTCTGAAGATATGGCTTTGCCACCTGATCTGAGGATGTTGGTGGAGAACTTGCTAATATGTTGCATATTTAGGAAAATGAATGATGCGCTCCTGCTGATTATGTTTTTAATAGTTTTATTGTTTTTAATGTTTTTATTTTTGTGGTCATTTTTATTTTTTCATTTTATAAACTGCCCAGTCACAATAGTGAGATGGGAGACTATATAGATTTAACAGATTTTAACAGGTAGATAGATAGACAGAAAGACTGGTTTCATTTCATATATTAAAACTTTTAATCTGATTGTTTAACAGTCCCAGTAAATTAAATCTAGCTTCTCCTCACCTTGTTGGCGAAGCTGCTCCAAATATAATTTTGCTAATCTCAGTTTCTTCTCTTGTGGGGTCTCATCAATTTCTTCTTCTGCTTCATTTTTATTTTCTGAGCTACATATGAAAAAGAAACCATTTGCACAGAAATACTTTGTATCATGCAACAATTATCCATCAACAAGAGAAAATTACTGTCCAATTCCCTTAAAGGAAATACTTTGGTCCTTTATCCCAATTTTATGGAAATTTGTGATACCTTATTCAATGTTACATCTTATGTACTTCCTAAAGTACAGACCTTTGGGGCCATTAAATGATGCCACAAATAACTATATTTCAGGAATCCCACCACTTGTTATATTATCATGAGGTCTCATAGCACAATTCTCTCATCATCAGCTTCATGCAACCATCTCCACAGGAAATTCTTATGCAAGTTCCTAAATTTAATGACATGAGCTTCCTAATTAGAGAAGAAAAATATCAAGACACTTTGGCATATCCTTACACATCTGGTTCAGAATCACTAGAGATCTCTTCATTCAACTTGGAGCCATGTTTCTGCCATTTTTTTTCTTCACTAACAGGGACCTAGGAAGTAAAAAAAAACTTATTTTAGTTCAAAACTGATTAAATAAATGCCTTCACTCAGTTATTGAAAAGCTGGAGGAGCAGGAATAAACAGGCTCAAATATGTCCATTTCGATTAATACAATTCTCATCATTAGCAGAGCACAGGCAACAGAAGTTGAAGCATTTGCTAATCATTCTACATATATTTTATGCATGGTTTATTTTCACCACATCAACATTAAGAAAACTAAGATCATGGCATCCGGCCCTCTTCCTATTCCTGGCAAATAGATGGAGAAGAAATGGAGGTAGTGACAGATTTAATTTTCGTGGGCTCCAAGATCACTGCAGATGGGGACTACAGCCAAGAAATTAAAAGACGCTTGTTCCTGGGGAGGNTCAAGTGATGACTATGGAAAGGATGCAGAAAGACCTTGAAACCAATCGACATACTATATGCAGTTGAAGAGATTTTTATGTTATATGTTTTGTGTGTTTGTGTTTGTTTGAAAATAAAAAAAAAATATTTAAAAAAAGTAGCCCAAATGAAAAATTCAATCAGGTAAGTGGAAGATGTTAGGTGAGTTGAAAGTATTATGTTCTACCAATGTGTTCTGCTATGTTCTACCAACCTGTCACTTTGAATTCAGGTTTAGTTATTTTTCAGCAGATTGCTAGACATACGTCCCAAAACAGACTTGAGTGACAGGTCACTTGTGGATTAAAGGGGTTGTGAGGAGCAATGGGCTATCTTCCATTTCATCCTCCACCCCTCCACTGCACCTGTGACCTGTCACTAAAAGAGGAAACAGACAGAACTTTTATCAATTTCACCTAGCTACTATACATCCCAAATCCACAATCTTAAGAGATTGGCAATGGGTTGCTATAGCTAGCATCATCTGAAAATAGCTTACACAGATGAAAATGCAGCTACAGTATATGAGAATTCTTTTCAGAAGAAACCGCAAAAAACCTGACAGCAACATGCAGCTGTAAAATCTCTTTTTATTTTCCAATTTAAATGATTTTGCCCTAGTCTTTTTTCTAATTATCTAGTACTCTTTTCCAAAGACCCCTAACCATGTGTTTAAAAGATATATTTTTAAATTTTGAAGGTATGAAAAATTTGTGTAAAGTTTTAAAGTATCCAGGCAGATGCATCTGTGGAAGCCATGTGTCTGACCTCTGTGATAACCCATGCCAAAATAGCACCCAACAGATGGAAAGGGATGTACTTGCGGCAGCCTAACATGGCCCATCGCAGATAGCAGTTCTGACCATGTTATCACCAACATTGTCAATGAGGTCTCACAGGTCATTCTTATGGGCTTCTGTTGGAAGAGCAGGGACAACACTGTTGTAAAACTAGAGTAGCTAAAAAGGAATGTTGGTTGTCCACATGATGCCATGAAGCTATCTCCACCAAAACAGCTAGCTAGGCATCTTTGTGCCTCAGTTAATAGGATGTGAGGATAAATCCTTCCAGTTGGTGGAAAGGAAAACAGAGCTCTAACCAAAGGCAGCTGCAGAGTCTTCACCAATGGTGAATTTCAAAANAAAATAGAACAGAACAGAGTTTGAAGGGTTCTTGCAGGTCATCTAGTCCAACCCTCTCAAGCAGGAGACCCTCTACACCATTTCTGACAGATGGCTGTCCAGTTTCTTCTTGAAAGCTTCCAGTAACGAAGCACCCACAACATCGGAAGGCAAGCTGTTCCATTGGTTTGATTGTTCTCGCTGTCAGAAAATTTCTCCTTGGGCATCGGGTATTTCCCGTTCGCACTATCTCGACCTATTTAAAAGTTCCCGTTTCGCTTTCTGGACGTGTAATAATAAACGTGAATAAACCCCAGATTTGATAAAGATCGCGACCGGCAGCATCATTCCTCTGCGTTAAACCAAATCGAGGCAGTGGAAGCAGGGAGAAGGGAGCCGTCTCCTTATCATTGCGGACCTGTCTCTGCAGCTGGTCTCCCCTTCCAATCGGGGCCATTGGCGACCGGATCCCTCCCGCGTTTCGACCGGAGCTAGTTCAGCTTCCTCCGCGGCCAGCGGAGATGAAAGAGGGGTGCAGGCTGTCTGTCCTTTCCTTACCGCTGGGCCGGCCTGGCATTCTCCCCAGAGAGGCGTGTTGCTATTGCTGCGCCGTAAAAAGCTGAACTCACCCGGCAGGAGGGGCGGGAAGGGAAGCAGCGACGCTCCCTGACGACCTCTGGCTTGTCCAGGCTTGTTTTGCTTGCCTATCCGGTGCCGGCGTTTGGCTCCTCCGGTGGGACCTCCGGGCAACGAGGAGACTCCCCACGCCCTTCCCTCCCGGTGAGTTTGCACTCCAAGCAAGGAGAAGGTGGGCTTTAAAAATAGACTGCACTTTAACTTTGTTTTGATGGATTGTTTCCAAAGGTGGGAACCGTAAAAGATGAACAACAGCTGCCCTGATTTGTTGTCCTGGGATGAATTTCTCAATAAAGCGATGTTAGGGTCTCCCAAACAACGTCAAACGTGGCAGGAGTGCCCCATACAGAACGGGATTTGGTGTTGCTCCTGGTATTAGGGGATGGAGTAAGGAAGTATTCCTACTACTGAAGCTAACTCTGAAAGTCTTAGAGCCCCTGTAACAACTTTTAGACAAAAAACACACTTCGAGCCGGTTTACCTAGTTATCTGTGACAATCTTGATGTGTTCTTCAGCTGCAGGCTACTACATTTCCCATCCTTCTTGGCCACTCTCATGGTGGCAGAGAATCACAGGAATTAAAAGTTAATCCCCAGAGGATACCCTCAGTAGAAAAAGACTCTGAAACACCAAATTATGTAGATTAAGAAATGGCTAATTTTTAATTTGCTTGTGCTCTCTGTCCTGCAGACTTTTAATGTACTTCATTGATATCAGTAGATACAAGGAAGTGGCTAGTAAAATAAGTGAGTGGTTATAACTTATCTGCCTGTCAGCGAGAATTTGCCATTGAGATTTCCCCATTGGAAGGTAATGAATAGAAGCCAACGTTGAAGTTGTGTTTTTCTTTGGAAAACCGGCTGGTACATTATTATTGCTATTTGTCATCCAGGTCATGGTTGTCCCAAAGGTGCTTTTTCAAGAGGCAACTGGACTTACTGGCTTTTCTTTGAGATATTTATCTTCTCATTCAAGAAACTTCTTTTGGTGTGACTGGATGGTGGGGAAGGAAAGGATTTATACTGCTTGCAGACAGCTGGTCATTTGCATCCTTTTAGCAAGTTGTGGAGGCCACCTGAAGGTTTATCTGTGTCATCAGGTCACCTGAGTATGCAAATGGGTGTGGAGCCTTCTTGGAATTATTGAAAGGACTGTGTTGTAGACTGGAGCTAGATGATGTTGTATCTATCACCTCTGTTGAGACAGGGCTGTTTAATTTTGATATAGATGATCTCTTTCACCCTTCTTTCAAACCAGCGGTCCTCTCTGTCGAAAATGTGGACAGAAACCACACAGTTCAATTGCCTCTTTAAAAAAGCACCTTTAAGATATTATTGCTATTATTTTCACAAGAGTCCTGGTTGCTTTCATGTATTCTCATCCATGAAATATATATTTTATATATTTTTATGAACAATTGTATGCATTTGTTCACATCTTGAGGCACAGACATGAATTATTTTGTGCCACTCTGTTGCTTGCACACTCTACAGAAAAGTATTGGACTATTCTTGGCAGACCTTTCTTATCTGGTCATTTCATATCTTACAGCATCTTCATTTGAAAAAGTTTATATTTTGGTTTCCTTCTTGATGCCTGCGTGCCTTATCATCCTTTTCAAAATCTTCTGTATTACATGTTCCTTTGGCCATTTTAGAGTCCTTCCTTCTGTTTCATCGTTTTCATCAGCCGCCTTTTACATTTGTACAGCTTTGAAAATGAATAGGCCACTTACCTATTTGAAGAATCCTTTTCCTATTCTACCAATAGAAAGTGATTGACCCTTACATATAGATCACCTTTAACTATGGAAGTCACACTGGGTGATTTTAGGCCAGTCACCCTCTCAGAGCTCAGTCTATTTCATATGGATGTTGTAATAGGGAAAAATGGGAAGAAGCAATGCTATATATCCTCTCTTGAGATATTCAATTAAAGGCAGGATATAGATCTAATTAATACATTCACCGGTTGCAAACCACTCAGTTATTGGTGAATGAGCAGTCTTAACATGGAAAATGTAAGAATAAGATAAATAATATATGAATGATCTTATAAACACAAGATTCTTACATCGTTTAATACTGAAGTACATGAAAAAAGTAAATATATTAACCTATTTTGGGAGCTCATAATTAACATATGTCCATACATACTATAGGTAAGCATAGGCAGCTGTTATTTCTTTTAGAGAGGCCTTGTCTGTCAATCATTTTAGCATACTAAGCTTTTGCAAAAATGCAAGACATGGCAAAAGAGGAAAGATTTAAAATTAAAATATCTCTCTAGTTAGAATACTTTGTCTGGGGATTTTAAATATGAAATAATGCCTCTCTCATGACCTCATCCTGGCCATGATGGGAGGTTTTTCCAAGGCAGTTGTAGGAAATCTTGGTTTGGGTTTAATATTTCATATGCTCTGGATGTGTGTTTTGTTCTTTTGATGAAAAAAATTAAGGACTTCATTTATACAGTAATTTGTAATTTCATGTTTCTTGTGAGTATAGTTTTTATGCAATAGTTGTAATTATATGTGTCTTTAATGATGTTTTAGCCATTTCATAATAAGGGCAGACATATTACGCCACATTCAGTACAGAACTTCTAGGATAGTTTCTGGATCAGGTGAAATAAAGTTTTCCTTTCCCCAAATTTATCTCCAACACATTCCTATATTGCATATGCATTTAAGTTTGTGTTGTATGGCTAAAAAAAACCCATCCCTCTTGTTGACAAAATTGACTGTCAGCCCTTTGAGGAAAATGCCTGCCTTGGAGTTTTGATTTCATTGGGGGGGTGCTACTTGGACATTGACATTTGTATGTTTGTGTATTGTTAAGAAATTGCACTGAAGACTTGCATATAAATTACATTTGTAACTCAGCACTACAGTATATCTTTCATCTTTTGCCTACTAGTTTGAATATGCTTTTTAAGTAACTTTCTCCTTGCCAATTCCTAAGAATGAACAAGGCAATTCTAGTGGTATTATGATAGCCACTTAATTGAATAGCCTTAAATGCTTTGTTGAAAATGAGAGTAATTCAGAACTATGCTTGTTAACATTGGGAAGCAATGAGAAAAAAATATTGTTCTGTTTACGGGAGTCCCATGAATATCTGCTTAATGAGAATACTGAATTCCAAATACCTATAATAGAAAGATAGAAAGATTTGTCCAAGGAATACAATTGTAAAAAGGCTAATTGGAGGTGAAAATTTACAATTATATATAATCTGAGGACAAAATTGTGAATAAGCTTAGAAATGCTTTATGAATTATCTGTTCCTGCTTGCCTGCAGTGTGGTTTTGTGGCTTCAATCACAATTAGGCTTCAATTTTAAATGAAAACTAGCTCCTTTGGGGGATCTCTCAAACTACATGCGGTTGACTGAAACCAAACAGCCAAACAAAACAGTTAGAATTGGAGGGGGGAAGATTAGAATTATAACTTTCAAATATGTTTTCCAAGGCAGAACCTTTCTCCAGCCTCCCTTTAATGATTATCTAGTGATTTAGTAAAGATACCTTGGAAAAACACAACCTACAAAGAAATATTTTTTTCTTAGAGGCACTTTGTGTGCTGATGTTCACAGGACTTATTTGGTTTTTCAGTACATCACATTTTACAGTTTTAGCTTACGCTCTGATCGACTCCTTTTTCTCACTAAGATTTACAAATACATGTACAAGGAAAAATGAAATTTGAATCAGAATTATGTGCAAACCAACACAGAAATCATATTAGAGCCATGGCAGTGGCTTCTACAGACTCCTGGGATTGTTTAGCACTAATCCCCGAAGTAATTTGAGCTGTTAAAACGGTGGGCCTGAAACATCAGTGATTCTTCCAAATTTTATTGAGATTTTGCCAAAGTAGTTGCCAAAGAAGAGCTCAGCATCATTTCCAGTATTTTTTAATCTATTAACCAACCAGCAGAATGATCACTTTTTTTTCCCACGTCTGTCTTTTTCTTGGAATTTTGTATTTATTTTGCTACTAACATAAGATTTTAATTGGCAGGGTTTTCCTTTTCCATTTAATTAAACAATTAAGTCCCTGTCTTTGTACAATTTATGTCTTTAGATACATAGAACTGAAAATGAGTGTGAAGTAGTGGTTAAAATGGTGGACTAGGAATGGACCTAAAGCTATCAACTGGCCTACACTGGCCCAACATAGTTGGAGCAGAATAGTAGATGATGGTGCGTAATCTTCAATGAAGAGGCCTTAATTCTGCAGTAATTAATATGAACTGATAATAATAAGGATGGTGCCAGGAATTGATTTGTGTGTTGGGGCAATGTCCACAGTACTTCAAGGAAGAAAATCTGAATATCAGTTTTATTTTTTTCAGGTAGCAATTAAGATTGGACAAAAACCATGCCTCCAAAGCGTAAAGCAGCTGCCCAAACTCGGGTTGCCATCAAGGGCAAGAAGGTTAAAAAGGAACCAGAGCTGAAACCTGAACCAGAGGAAGACAATTTCCTGTCCACTGTGGCAGCACTGAAAGCAGCTCCCAAGGAGAAGTCCAAGGCCAAAATTGATACTGCCTGTCAGCTGAGTTATGACGATGGTGCCCAGGTGAGAATGAAGAGTTTAGGCTCGTGATGGCAAACCTTTGAGACGCGTGCCACAGGCGGCATGCAGAGCCCTCTCTGCAGACACGTGTGCCGTCGCCCCTGCTCAGCGCCACCGTGCATGCCTCCCGCCAGCCAGATGATTTTCAGGTTGCACATGGGGGGCGGGGAGAATGCGGGAGGGCAGTACACCTCTCCCCGCAGCCCATTTTTGGTCCCAGGAGGCTGTAGGGAGGCTGGGGGGTAGGGCGCGGGGCACGGGTGGGTTGCTGCTAGCATTACTGCCGGTTTGGCGTGCAAAATATTTTGCGCGCACTCCCTTTGCTCACGAGCATGCCAAACACGCACAACATTAGAAAAAGAAAAAAAGATTACATTTTTGCAATGAAGATTGTTCTACGCATGTAGAACCAAAAATAAAGATGGAGCCGCCGACAATAGAACCGGTTCAGTGGCGCAGCAGGCCACGTTACTACCTTCTCGGCCGAACCGGGCTGAAGAAGTATGAACGCACCTCTCGCACGGTGGGGAGGGGAGAGTGTCACACAAACATTGCATTATGGGTCCATGCGTGTGCATGCGCTTTTGGCACTCGACAAAAAGGTTCACCATCACTGGTTTAGGGCAAATGATCACCTGTGTCTGGCTTTCTTTAGAACAGGGGCATCCCCTTCCAGATGTTTTGGATGATAGTGCCTGTAAGTGAGCTAAATTGGTTAGGAATGCTAGGAGACAAAGCCCCGATACATTTGGAGGGTGCTAGCAGAGGAAAAATAGGAATCTGTATGCTCCCCACTTCTTCAGGTTTCCTCTACATAAGTAGAGTTTTGTTTTTTTGTTTGCATGTCTATTCAAAACACATAGATTCAGTCTGGGAGGAGAAGAAAATTACTTGGCCAGAAATCTGTCCCTCCCCCCCCCTGATGAAATCTCATTAGCTAATAGTTTTTTCTTGGCAGAGGGTTGCATCGTATTTAAATCTAATCAAATCTTCAAGATGGCCTTAGGCCAGCGTACTGCATTGTACTTCATTCTTTAGAATGTTCTCTGCCAGACCAAGCCAAATGGAAATCTTGTTAGCTGAAGCTGCCTCTCTGGGAGTAGTGGGAGAGATGTCAATCAAATCCCAACCCGAATGCATGTCAGTTATAGGTCCTGGACTCCATTACTTGCTGAACAAATAAAATGCAGGACACAATACCACCTGGCTCAGGTCCCAATAACACATTATGAACTTTGCCTTGTTTTCATAGTGCTTTTGATGCTGTTTGCTCCTTTTCCATTATTAAAATGCAGGGGTAGTTTGAAATATAAGGAGGGCCCCGAGCCAAATAGATAAAGGCCACCAAATCAAAGCCCCAAACTACAATTTGGCAGAAGTGCAGAGATTTATGGGTGTTTTGAAAGCAGCATATTCATATTCCCTGCTTCCTCTTTTATCACTTTAGATTTATGAAGACTACGATTGTATGTTGAACCAAACCAACATTGGCCAGAACAACAACAAGTTCTATATCATCCAGCTGATAGAGCAAAATGGGAAATACAGTTGCTGGAACCGCTGGGGCCGTGTAGTAAGTCTCTTGATCACAATTTGTCTGTGTAAACAGAAGGATTGGTACCTTGTTTCTCAACAGTTCAGGGGTCTAGTGGGGGACAGGGTAAGCAGCTTCTTCCTAAGATGGCTTTTGCATTATTAGCCTCATTATGCCTAGTGATTCCTAACCGCAGAACAAGGCATGCAATTACTGAAACCGCTATCATAACATATACCTTGGTTGAACAACTGTGTTTCCCAAATGACAATTTGCTTTGCTGAGTGTAGTGATTGCTGCTGTATGAATATCGAGAAAGGCATTTCCTTGTAATGCACAGTATCTTGACAGGGGGAGACATGCGATCTTGGTCTCCAAATGGACAGCTCTTAGCATTATAAGTCAAAAGTCATTACATAACAATTCCATCTTCCCTTCCTTAATGGGTTTTCTGTTACCAAGCAAACAGAAAAAGAAATGGCAAGAAAACATGACAAGTGGAAGATTGATGCTGCTTTCCCCCCCTGTAAAATCTGCTGAACAATTTTAAAAAATCCCATCATCTGAAAGTGTTATGGTCAGATATTTCAGACAGTATTCATAACCATGGTTATTATTCATAAGATTTCGTTTCAGAGAAGAAAAATCAAATGAAGTATTTGCTCTTCGTGTAGTTTTCCTGTGAAAATGCAAAACCAAACAAGTTGGTTGCCAATCAAAGCAGCAGTTATAAGCCTGCAGCAAAAAAGTCAGAGTCCAATAGTGCTTCCAATAGTGTATGCTTTACGGCCGCACATGTATACGCACATTATGTTGATTGCATCTTTTTTACAGTTAAACCATAGTTGAAAACTTAAGAAGGACGTTACTTATGAGACCAAATTAAACATAAAATATTTATATGTAAAAAATGTTCGCTTCTCAAGTAATCATTTCCTAGATATGCAACAATTCTCCTGGAATTTGTAAGGTTTCACAAATTATTGGTTTAACCTAAAGCAAAGTTTATTATAACAGATTTTTAAAAAGCAGTAAACAATGAGCTGGATGAGAGCCAGTAAGCTAAAATTCAATCTTGATAAGATGGAGGTGCATAGTATGTTGTGTTAAGCTATGGTTTGTTTCAGCTCTTTATTACATGTCATAGTGACCCAGTTCCTGAATAATACCAAGTTGGTTTATAACTTGTTTATGCATATTCATATTTCTGGCCTCGTGTGATATATGAGCCATGCTGCTGTTTATGAGTGGTTCGTTGGTTTTAATAAATAAGTAGAATTTAACACTGTCCTTGAAGGAGATCCATTCTTTCCAGGATCAGAAATGTAGCGTGTGGATGTTCTGAAACTGATCATTCTCACAGTGGCTCAAATATATGCTATTCATGGGCAGAAATAGTAGACCTGCAGTTATTAGTGACTATTTGGAAAGTTCCTCCTTAGATTATTTTACTGGTATCGCTATTTGAAAATGCAAGAGACATTTTAATTCATTCAAAACGGGTACCTTGATAGGCTTGGGCAACACACTGTATAGCAGTCCTTTGTCATCCATGCTGGTTAGCAGTTACGGTAATTTCTAGGTCCAGTTCAAATTGAACTACAAAATCTCTAACCCGTTTTCTAAAAGAGCATCTCTTTAATTGAGAATCCCCAATTCATTAGGATCCATAATTAGGTGTGTAAGTAGAATTAAGCCCACGAGGTATTTATAGAGATAAGTTCTTCAGGTCTAAAAAGACAAAATACAAGAAGCAAACACAAGGAGATAATCCAGGGCTCTTCCCAGACCTCTTCCCCTTAATATACAGACTTCATATCCTTGGGTTAGAAGAAAAAAGTACAATAATAAGTTCTGCTGCTCTAATGCTTGACCTTTATTCTTTAGTTACAAGACTTTGGATTAAGACTGCATTTTAATGTAGGGCAAATTTAATCAATGGTTGGTAGATTTCCCCTCCTAAGTACCCACTGTATCCCCTGCCCTGCCAGCGTGAGAAACAACCAGCCACTGCTGTTCTTAATATATTATGGGATGGATTTGGGTAACTATGGGCAGGTACCTAGGAGTGAAGGTTTTAGCCGCCCTTCAAATTGACTGAGTGACAGGTCTTGGAAGTTATCTGTGCGATGTCCTGTCACTCAGGTTGTTTTTGAACATGGCTCTATCATTCTTGTGGAAAAGCCTTAAGCCCATGTTCAGAAGTAGCCCAAATGGAGAGGCGGGGCCTGACATCGCTACGACACATGCAATCTTGGGGCTCCAGGATTGATGTCGATATCTCTGTTGCTGGACAATCCTTTTGGATCTAAACCATTCTGAAGGAACGGTGATAGAGAAGGGCATGTTCTGCTGATCTCAGGGGCATCGCAAAGCCTCTGATCGATCCAGGAAAAAGCTCTTTTTGCCTGCTACAAGAGAAGCAGCCAAAATGGCTGTAGAAGGTTGGGACAGATGCCTAAAACGGAAGCAGAATAGGAGAGACAGTATGTCGAAATGTAAGAAAAATCCTTATTATTAGAGAAGAGAAAACCCAAAAGACTTAAGAGTTAAAATAAAATTGAAGACAGAAGGAAGCAAGGGGCGAATTAACCCTGGTTTAAAACTATCGTGTTATCCTTTTCACTTTAATTTTGTTTGTTTTCTATGGATGGACTTTTATTATCGCTGGTGCTTC